TCTATGTTCATGGCTCCCCCACCCCCTGCCCCCTCAGACATAGTAGGAGACTACTACCAATTGGAGCAGCTAAATACGCCCTCTCCAGTCTGGCCCAGTTTTCCCGCCATTCGGCCCTTCTTCTCCGAGGCAGAAGAGTGGCCTGGGGGCCTGCAGGCTCCAGTCGCCCGCTACGAGCCATTCACCAGAGTCGAAGGGATGACTGACCTAGGTTTCCCCACTGTTCCGCCGCTGGAAACTAGTATTTCCTCCATCCTGCTCCCAAAGGCAGCTTTCTTAGGCAATCGGCAGCCCACTCCTCCGCTGCCCCGAGACCAGGTCTCCGCTTGGCTCACGGATCGCATCCACCAATGCACCTCCCAGGCTGGAGCTGCAATCAACAATATTGCTCTCCTTTCCTCATCTGTATCCACTCTCGCTGCCCAGCCCAGGGCCCTCCCCTCAGAGGCAGCAGAAGAGATTGGCAAAGCCATGGGTGCAGCACTCGCGCTGTCTTCTGCTGCAGCCGTGTCTACAGCTCGCATCCGGGCATGGGCCACTATGGTTCAATGGAATATGTGGCTTCATATATCCAAAATGCCAGAGCAAATTAAGGAAAGCCTACTGGAAGGACCCGTCAGCCCAGAAGGTCTCTTTGGAGCACCTCCAGGAGGCTCTCTCTCACCTGCAGCTAGTGGCTGATGAGGTGGAGCAAGTTCATCAGCTGGCATCATGGGGGTGACAACAACTTTGCCCTTCTCGACCAGACTGGCGTAATCAGGGCAAGCACCACTACAAAGCCAGGCGCCCAGCAGCCACCGCTACCACTGCACCGCGGCACCCCCCTCCGCCTGACCCCGCTCCCCCTGCTCCTGCCTCCTTCCCCGGACTGGAAGCCTCCAGGCATGCCCATACAGGGCGACGAACTGCCTGCACCTGGTCTAACCTTCAGCCAGCCTCCTTTCCAGGGCCACCACCTGCTAAATAAAGAGCAGTTCCCAGACAGCTGCCTTTTCTTTGTCTCTGGATGTTCACGATCCATATGCACACACGTCTCCCCATCCGATGTTTCTTCCCCCACGCACACTGCATTGGGGGACATGGTCACCTTCTCCTCTTCCTCACAGCACGACACCGCTATTCTATCTGATACAGAGCTACCTGTGAGTCTGTGTGGTCTCCCCACTCCTCACGTGCTTGTGCGTATTTCTCTCCCACACAGGAGGCGAGCGATAAACACGGGACTCTCTCAGCATGAAGGCTAAGCTGACATCTGCCAGGCGAGAAATGTTCTTATCTCTCCTGCACCGCGTTGTTCCCCATGTGAGAGTAACGGCTCTATCTATGATGCGTTTACTGGGAACGATGTCAGCCATCCATGTTGTAGTCCCCCTCGATCTCTTTCATATGAGGAAGCTCCAGAGGTGGTTCGGCCATCTGCGTCTCGACCCAGTGCGCCACAGGAGGCGCCTGCTCATGGTTCCTCCCTCGGTCCAATCAGACTTGGAGTACTGGGGAACTCCCAGTGTGCAGACGACAGGAGTTCCCCTGGGCAGAGCTACGTCACACGTCTTGGTGTTCACAGACGCATCTCTGCTCGGCTGGGGAGGCACATGCCTGTCACAGGCTGTGGGAGGATGGTGGGATCACACCCCGTCTCTCCACATCAACTGTCTGGAACTAGCCACAGTGCTGAAAGTGGGGAAACACTTTGCACCAGTGCTGAGGGGCAGACACGTCATGGTGCGGTCAGACAGCACAACAGCCGTCGTACATAAACCGGCAAGGCGGTGGTCGCTCTGCCCGGCTGCTGGAAATTGCACTGAAATTCCTGCTCTGGGCTCATCAAAACTTGCTCTCCATCAGAGCCGTGCACATCCCTGGCGAGCAGAACCGCGCCGCGGACCTCATGTCATGGGGTGACCTCAGCCCAGCGAATCCTTGTCTAGCTCAGACATTGGGACAGGTTCGGCCGAGCAGTGGCAGACCTGTTCGCAGCACGCGAGAACGTGCAGTGCTGCCTCTGCTTCTCACTGTACGCCAGAGACAATCCGCCTCTAGGGGGTGGATACCTTCGCTCACCACCCCTGGCCGAGAGGTCTCCTCTATGCGTTCCCCCCAGTCCCATTAATCCCACGACTCCTCTCACGCATGCAAGATGAGCGGCTACGCATCCTCCTGATAGCTCCGGAGCTCAGGAGCGCAGTTTTGTTTCCGACCATGCTTCAGTTGCCGAAGGGAGATCCCTGGCAACTCCCCTGACAGGGAGATGCACTCTCTCAGCTGGACGGCGCGATCCAGCAGTTCCCCGTGATAGGCCAGCGGCTGTGGGCCTGGCCCCTGAATGGGAATGACTGGAGAGCATAGGATTCCCCCCAGCGGTGGTGCACACTATTCAGTGCGCCAGAGCTCAGTCAACAACGGAATCTTACGTTGCAAAGTGGTCAGTTTTTCAGCGATGGTGCATGGAAAAAGGCACAGCTCCCACGTCCTGCCCAGTGGCTCAGGTGCTGATTTTTCTACAGACCCTGGTTGGAAGAAACCTGGCTCTGTTTACCGTTAAAGCGTATGCCATCGCCATCTCATCATGCCATGAAGGTTTTGGCGAGAGATCTGTATTTGCACATCCACTGGTATAACGTTTTCTCGGGGGTGTAGGCAGACTGAGGCCTGTGATGCACACAACGGTGCCACAGTGGAATCTGCCTCTGGTTTTATGCGTGCTCAGCGGGCCTCCTTTTGAGCCCATGGCACACATCTCTCTCAGACATCTCTCCCTGAAAACAGAGCTCCTCCTAGCCTTGACATTGGCTAAGCGCGTGGGCGATCTGTGCGCACTATCTGTCTCACCGGCGTGCCTCCTAAAGGGATAAACCCAATAGCGACAGCTCTTAGAGGGCTACACCTATACTCATAGAAGCTTGGGCTACTCTACGTAACCATCGTTCACTGCAGATGATCTATGATCGTTCTAATCTACAATATTTTGACTATCGTGTTTGAATCTATTTACAGGATGTAGTTTTAGACAGACAGGAATACACAGTCTGCTGTGTTTCACAACATGAGATTTGGTCTCCAATTGGTGCTGGCTATGTCCTGAGTAACTATGATCTAGTTTCATAAATCTCTCCTCATTTGCCAGCCCCTCCCTGCCTCTTGTTGTCCTGTATCTTCCTTCCATCCATTAGCTTTACCGCTTATCCTGAAGAGGGTTGTGTATCTTGCCTGTTCAAAATGACTTGCTTCTGCCTTTTTCACTCTCCTGAACAAACAAAATCACTCTTGGTTCTTTTTCTAAGAAAGGCTGCTGGAAACAGTTTAATAATACAACAACTTTGGAAGCATTTCAGTGTTGACACTGGCTGGAGATTTCCTTTAAGGGGGAGCTGATTATTATCTTGAGCTGCTACTGAGGGTCACTTTACAACTAAGATGCAGAACAGTTTAGCAGTATCAAGTGAAATATGACACAATAACGTGCACACTGTACCTCCACTTTGGTTGAAGCGCTGCTTCAGTATGTCAAGCTTGGATTTGTAGATGTTGGGCAGAATCTCTGAACATTGTTGAGTTGACTCATGGAAGTGCTGAGGATCATCGTGGGATAATTTTGTCACCCAGTCCTGTCTTGGTTTTATTGTGTTGCCATCGCAGTAACCTATCACGATATCATCAACCACTGCAACACCCACAAACTCCGGGAAGTTTGGAATTCCAGAAGATGCAGTGAGGAAATATGTGAGGGAGTGTTTTACTGTGGGACAAAGATTTATATGTTCAATATAAATATACACACATCATGGTTCAGTTAAAAC